CTTCAAAGGTAACCGTAATGATATTCGGCAATTAGGTATACAGCACTTTTTGTAGAATGAGTTCCCAAACTTTTTTTTTGAGTCAGAGTCTCAGTTACCCAGGCTGGAGTACAATGGCTTGCTCAGGCCACCCCTACGTCGACCTGCTGGGCTCAGGTGATCCTTCCGCCTCAGCCTTCCAAGTAGCTGGGACTACAGGCACACACTATCATACCTGGCTAATTTTTTTTTAATATATTGTAGAGACGAGGTTTTGCCAAATTGCCCAGACTGGTCTCGAACCCCTGGGCTCAGGCAATTCTCTCACCTCAGCCCAAGTGCTGGGGTTACAGGCTTGAGCCACACCTGGTCAGAGTTCCCAAACTTAACTGTTGGACCGTGTATGTTAATAACAAACAGAAATACCCTTATAGACATACCCATGATAATGTTTAACCAAATGCCTGGGTACCCCATGACCCAGTCAAGTTGACATATAAAATGAACCATCACAGGCCGGGTATGGTGGCTCAAGCCTGTAATCCCAGCACTTTGGGAAGCCGAGGTGAAAGGATTGCCTGAGCCTGCTGGTTTGAGACCAGTGTGGGCAATTTGGTGAGACCTCGTCTCTACAATAAATCACAAAAACTAGCAGGGCGTGGTGGCATGCATCTGTAGTTCCAGCTACTTGGAAGGCTGAGGCAGAAGGATCGCCGGAGCCCAGCAGGCTGAGGCTGTGGTGGAGGTGAGCGTGCCACTGCCCTCCTCTAGCCTGGGTGACAAGAGTGAGACTCCAACTCAAAAAAAAAAAAAGAACCATCACAATGGAAAAATATCAGAAACATGATCTGAGTGAAAAATATGAGTTGCAAAATATGTCCCATTTGATGCAATTAACATTACTTTTTAACCCAAAAATAACAGTAAGGGGACTTCTATAGTAAAGTACAGAAACACACAGCAGTGTGTTTCTGGATTGATAGTGTTTATCTTTGGGGAGAGAAAATACGGGAAGATGGGTACATGGTATATTTTAATTTTGGTGGTTGCTCTTTAGGTTTGTAATTCTTCATAATTTCAAGTTGTCTTTTGTTTGTTTTGTTATTTTTTGAGTTGGAGTCTCACTCTGTCGCCCAGACTGGAGTGCAGTGGCCGCCCCTGGCCACCGCAGCCTCGACCTGCTGGGCTCCAGAGATCCTTCCACCTCAGCCTTCCAAGTAGCTGGAACTACAGGTGTGCGCTACCATGCCTGGCTAATTTTTTGATTTATTGTAGAGTTGAGGTCTTGCCAAGTTGCCCACGCGGGTCTTGAACCCGCGGGCTCAGGCAATTCACTCACCTCAGCCTCCCAAGGCGCAGGATTACAGGCTGAGCCACTGAGCCCGGCCAAGTTTTTTTTTTTTTTGAGTTGGAGTCTCACTCTGTCGCCCAGACTGGAGTGCAGTGGCTGTTCCTGGCCACCGCAGCCTCGACCTTCTGGGCTCCGGCGATCCTTCCACCTCAGCCTTTCAAGTAGCTGGAACTACAGGTACGCGCTACTTCGCTCGGCTGAGTTTTTGATTTATTGTAAAGATGAGGTCTCCCCAAGTTGCCCAGGAGGGTCTCGAACCTGTGGGCAAAGTTTTTTTTAAATGTAAAAAATATGTGAATTTCAGGGAACTGTAATCTTTTGGAGCTGGACCAAGGTGGCAGGAGATAAGAATAGAAAGACAGCTGGGGGCCAGATGGTGAAGAACCTTGAATATCATGCTGAAGAGCTAAATTTCAGCTGGAAGTTCATTGGGGGCCTCAAAGGTTTAAAGCAGAAAAGTGAGTCTTCAAAAAACGTCACAGTCATGGAGAGCACTGTCCTACAACCTGGAACAAGACTTTAGAGAATATGGGTCATGTCCTTATAAACAAGTGTTCTTTGAATTGGGTCCTACAGCGGGACGAGATTAAGGTTGTCTGTGAGGCCAGGCACTGTGGCCCATGCCTGTAATCCCAGCACTTTGGGAGGCAGAGGCAAGAGGATTGCCTGAGACCAGCCTGGACAACATGGTGAGACCTCATCTCTACGATAAATTTTTTAAAAACTAGCCAGGCATGGTAGCACATGCCTATGTTTCCAGCTGCTTGGAAGGCTGAGGCAGAAGGATCACCTGAGCCCAACAGGTTGAGGCTGCAGTGGCCATGAACGTGCCACTGCACTCCAGCTTGGGCGACAGAGTAAGACTCTGACTCAAAAAAAAAAAAAAAAAAGTTATCTGTGTCACCTTCACCTCAGCCATCTGTGTGTGGTTCTGTGTTTTTTGTTCAGTAAGGTCTCCCATAGGGCAGTCTCATCAAGAAGAGTTCAGCCACAAGCCCTAGACCTATTTTTTAAAAAGTAAATATGGAATCTGCTTTCACTCAAATCACTGCTCTGTAAGATCACCTTCAAAAACAATACTAAATTTTTTGGCAGCAACATGACTTTGTTGTCCAATGGTTATTACCTGGATTCTTTGTGGCTTAATTGCTCCCTCCAGTAAGGTTTCCAGGACAAGCTATAATCCTGCCACCAAAGTTGACCCTGATTAACATGGTTGGAAAGCCATAGTGTCCCCCAACTTGCCCACAAGTGCGTCCTTCCTGAGTCTTTGGTCTCTGAGAAAAAGAAACCAAAGAGAATTCAACCAACATCTTTTTTTTTTTTGAGTTGGAGTCTTACTGTGTCACCCAGGCTGGAGTACAGTAGCACACTCATGGCCACAACCTTGACCTGCCGCACTCAGGCGATCCTTCCACCTCAGCCTTCCAAATAGCTGGAACTACAGACACATACCACCACACCCAGCTAATTTTTTGATTTATTGTAGAGATGAGGTCTCGCCAAGTTGCCTAGGCTGGTCTTGAACCCCTGAGCTCAGACAATCCTCTCGCCTCTGCCTCCCAAAGTGCTGGGATTATAGGCGTGAGCCACCGTGCCTGGCCATATACTTATTTATGCACATGTAAACACACTGAAAATGGTCTAGAAGAATACACCAAACTGGTAGTACTGGTTATTTATGAGTAGAGAAATGGAACTGGGGGACAGAGATAGGGGCGAACAAGGGTACTTTTACTAATTTATGTTTACATTGAAATTATGTTCATGTGTTGAGTCTTGACCTTAAGAAGCTTAAAGAGGCCTGGGCTCAATCCCAGCACTTTGGGAGACCCAGGCAAATGGATTGCCTGATTCCGCAGGTTCGATACTAGCCTGGGCAACTTGGTGAGACCTCGTCTCTACAATTAAAAAAAAAAAAAAGTTAGCTGGGCATGGTAGCATGTGCCTGTAGTTCCAGCCACTTGGAAGGCTGAGACAGGATCGCCGAAGCCCAGCAGGTTGATGCTGGGGTGGCCGTGAGCGTGCCACTGTACTCTAGCCTGGATGACAGAGTGAGACTCCAACACAAAAAAAAAAAAAAATAAAAGAAGCTTAAAGAGTAGTAAATGTGATACATATAAATACATTTCTTTTTTTTTTTTTTCTTAAAAACCAAAAACTGGGCAACCCCCTCAGGTCCCCTCCCAGTTGGGAGCTTTTCTGTATTCTCAATAAATCCTGCTTTAAAAAAAGAAGAAAAGCCGGGCTCGGTGGCTCAGCCTGTAATCCCACGCCTTTGGGAGGCTGACGTGAGTGGACTGCCTGAGCCCGCGGGTTCGAGACCCACCTGGGCAATTTGGCGAGACCTCATCTCTACAATAAATCAAAAAATTCGCCAGACATGGTAGCGTGCGCCTGTAGTTCCAACTACTTGGAAGGCTGAGGCGGAAGGATCGCCGGAGCCCAGCAGGTCAAGGCTGTGGTGGCCGGGAGCGTCCACTGCACTCCAGTCTGGGCGACAGAGTGAGACTCCAACTCAAAAAAAAAAACAAAAAACAACAACGACAACAAAAAATACCACATGCTACCATATTTCCAGTACCCAGAATTAACACATCTAACATTTTCCCATTTTCAGTCTTATATAAAAGAAACAATGAATTAAAAACTCATCACTCAGGCTGGAGTGCAGTGGCACAATCACAGCTCACAGCAGCCTCTATCTCCTGGGCTCAGGTAATCCCTCTACCTCCATCTCCTGAGTAGTTGGGACTATAGGCATGCACCACCACACCCAGCTAGATTTTTGAGCTGCAAAGCTCAAAATGGAATGGTCGCAGGAATATCTGACTTCACAGTGAGGTTTTACCTTGTACTTTGTTTTCTCCCTTTTTGAGTGGAAATCTCACGCTATTGACTAGGCTGGAGTGCAGTGGCAAGCTTATGATCACCACAGCCTTGACTTGCTGGGCTCAGGTGATTCTTCCACCTCAGCCTTCCAAGCGGCTGGAACTACAGGTGTGTGCCACCACACCTGGCTAATTTTTTATTTATTGTAGAGACAAGGTCTCACCATGTTGACCAGGCTGGTCTCAAACCCCTAGGCCCAAGTAATACTCTTTCCTCCGCCTCCCAAAGTGCTGGAATTACAGGCATGAGCCACCACGCACAGCTCACTTCATTTTCTTTCAAATCTTTTCACGTCTCTGCAATAAGACTGCAGGTAGATTTCCTGTGCAGTAGCACAGGGAGAGATGCACCCTTATGCTTACACTCTCACTGAGCTGAAGGAGGCACACGGCTTTACTGTACACTGCCCGACAGCCCTTCCTCCCAGGAGCCATCCTCCTGCTCTGTGTGTGATTTGATTAGAGTTCTCAAACAAGGACCTGTGCTTTCTTTGATACAGAGGCAGGTGCATGTGTGGCCATGGTGGCCAGCACATCCCATTACCTACACACACTAACTGGTCCAGAAATGAGTTTTTTCAGAGCATTTACATAAATCCTGGGACAGTGTTTTCTCTGAGATCATGAGAACGGATACTATGACCCCCAAAACCATATGTTACCTACTTCATGGGTGGCAGGGCTCAAGATAAGGTAATCCAGTCTATGACTAGAAACCTGGTAGTCAGGGCTCCATTTGTGAGGTCCATACACTGGGTCAACAAAATCACCAAGACACAGACATGGCAAAATATTTAATGTCTATAGGTACACCTTGCCCTCACATTCCTATAATGATTCAACAGCCTCCACCACTGTCAAGCTGGCACAGACTGGCACAACCAGAGAAACCATAGGCACTTTCTTCCAGCAGGATTTGAAAACCATTGAGGCCCCAGTCCTCTTGACCTGGAAATGATGGTAGGTGAGGTCTTTCCACAGCATACCTTGGGCCTCTCTGCTCAAGAGAAAAAGCCCCTAGTTCTACAGGATTCCTGAGGTCTTCTGGTCTTCTGCGGCCTGGCGCCGGGACTTGCGCAGCTGGAGGTAGTGGTAGGCTCGGACACTGCAGAGGTAGCCGCCGTACACAGTGAGGAGCATCATGGAGGTGGAAAAGGTCTTGTAGCCAATGTCAGCTAGCTGCTTGGCAGTTGGCATGCTGTCCCCTGCAAAGACAGACTGAATTTAGCCGGAGATAAGGCCTCGTCTGCCTGGCCTATTTACATGTTTAAGACCATTCCATAACTTCTCCGTCCTGCTTTGACTCCATGCTAAATGGCCCCTACATGGAAGCCAGTATCTTATGTGGATACTGGAGGATATATTGCCTGGGGACTCTAGGATTCCAAAGGGCAAATAAGGTCTGTGTGCAGGACAGAACTGAAGCTGGAAGCAGGTGCCCCCAAATGTCATTACAGCTAACACCTGGCCCTCCACGCCTATGGAGAGAAGTGACTGGCACAGACCAGAAACAACTGCTCCTAACTGCACTTCAAGCATCTATCAGTTCTTCTGGCTACTGGGAACTAATGGAGGAGCCAGGAATTAAACATTGGCAGTGAATTACTCTCTGTAGGAGGATCAAATGGGAATCTCTCAGGCAATATCCAATGTGTTTTCCCATAAAAACCTCTTTCATGGTGGTTACTTCCCAAGTTAGCACTAAAGTATGTTTAAGCCATAATATTCCTGAAATAGTGACAACAGTACTTCTATATTATTTCAATTATACTTAACCTTCTATAGCATTAATTCTAAGTTCCAAGCGTGACACTAAGAGCCTGTCCTATGGGCTAAAAAGAAACTTACTGGGTCCCCGGGAAATTGTTAACTCATGTTTGCATGAAATAAATTACCCCTAATTTAACTGTTCCTGGATATTCTGGGCTAGGGAACAAGAGAAAGTTCAGTAGAGAATCCCTCATTCAGAACAAAATGTTCCTCCGTTGGGGACTATGAATGTTCTTAGGCTCCTCTCTGTCATGGAAATTGAAATTTAAAGACTGACTAAAACTGGTGAGAAAAAGGTTTCTTAAAAGTCAAGAAGGCAGGGCTCCGTGGCTCAGCCTGTAATCCCGCGCTTTGGGAGGCAGAGTTGAGTGGATTGCCTGAGCCCGCGGGTTCGAGACCCTCCTGGGCAACTTGGTGAGACCTCATCTCTACAATAAATCAAAAAATTAGCCAGGCGTGGTAGCGTGCGCCTGTAATTCCAGCTACTTGAAAGGTTGAGGCGGAAGGATCGCCGGAGCCCAGCAGGTCAAGGCTGCGGTGGCCGGGAGTGTGTCACTGCACTCCAGTCTGGGCAACAGAGTAAGACTTCAACTCAAAAAAAAAAAAAAGTCAAGAAGAGGCTGGGCTCAGTGGTTCAGCCTGTAATCCCACCACTTTGGGAGGCTGAGGTGAGTGGATTGCCTGAGTCTGCAGGTTCAAGACAAGACTGAGCAACTTGGCGAGACCTCGTCTCTACAATAAAAAAAAACAGCCAGGCGTGGTAGCACGTGTCAGTGGTTCTGGCTACTCGGAAGGCTGAGGGGGAAGGATCGCCAGAGCCCAGCAGGTCAACACTGGGGTAGCCATGAGTGTGTGTGCCACTGCACTCCAGCCTGGGTGAAGGAGTGAAACTCCAACTCAAAAAAAAAAAAAAAGTCAAGAAGAGTGCCTCAATAAAAAAATTTTAAACACACTCACACACATACATATTTTTTAAACTGAGCGTGGTACCTCTCAGGGACACAGGGAGGCTGCTGGAGCTGCGAAAGAGTGATAAATGGCAGGGAAAGGCAAGACTTACAAGTGCCAGCTTATAGCTAGGAGGGGAAGGACTCAGGGACCTTGGGACCCAGTCCTGAGGACCCTGGGGGGAGCTGGCTCCCACGGGCCTGTCAGTGAGGCCTGAGAGGACCCCACTTTTAGTTCTAGCAGCTTGCTCCCCACCTACTGGCGCTCAGCACTGCAGGCAGAAAGACATTTTTTCAAAGTATAAATCGCATCCTGTCACTCCTCTGCTTGGACCCTTCGTTGGTATCTCACACAGATCAAAAACATTCACAGCAGCCTGCAAGGTCTACTTGCTCTGCATTCTGCGCACACATGCAACCCAAAAGAGTCAAGAAGAACTTGGAAGAAGAAAAGCCCAGGATTAGCTGGTCAGGGGCTGAGAAGCAGGAAAAGACATGTGAGTGCCTCTCAGTAAACCCTAAGGGTGACCATTTCCTTTTGGACAGGCCTTGAGGGTAGACCCCACACTGAGCTGAGGCAGTTTCTCTGAATTATAATCCCACCATGGAAAGTGATACTAAGTAAAGCCAGAGGAAGAAAACCAAATGTCACAAGTTCAAGATCAGAAAGAGCCGGGCTCGGTGGCTCAGCCTGTAATCCCGTGCCTTTGGGAGGCTGAGGTGAGTGGATTGCCTGAGCCTGCGGGTTTGAGACCCACCTGGGCAACTTGGTTAGACCTCATCTTTACAATAAACCAAAATGAACTGGGCGTGGTAGCCCGTGCCTGTAGTTTCAGCTAGTTGGAAGGCTGAGGCGGAAGGATCGCCGGAGCCCAGCAGGTCAAGGCTGCGGGGGCCGGGAGCGGACACTGCACTCCAGTCTGGGCGACAGAGTGAGACTCCAACTCAAAAAAAAAAAAAAAAAATATCAGAAAGGGCTGCATTCAGGATATCTGAGGTTTGCAATGACCTCAAGCTGTGCATGAGATAGTGAAGAAAACAGACACCAGACAACACTAAGGCAGGAGACAAGCGCCTACAGAGAATGCAGCCTTCAACCTCCCCCTTACTTATTCTTTCTCCTTCCATCTCCATCACCCTGGTCAGATGCGAACCAATTCTAGGCTGGGGAAGAGAGCTGGAAGCATTCACCAGTCAACAAAGAAACAGGACAGCTTGGCTGGAAGAGTGATGCAAGACCAACTAGTAGACATAATCCTGGTGGCTAGAGCCTTACTTCCAAGTCTCTCGTCTAATCCATCCTGAGATTCTCCTAATTTCACAGATGCTGAGCTAAAGCAGGGACAGTAGAGACAGAGAGGACAGATCCATAAGTTATTTTGGAAGTAGGACAGGATTTATCAAATGGATGGATGAAGGCAAAGCTGAAAATACCTCCAAGTTAGGAAACTTTGTGGACTGGGATACTGTTAACAGAAATAAGAAAAAAGAGAAGACATATGTGCCATTGTATGTGCAGGGTGGTGGCAGTGTCAGTCAACAAGATCATGAGCTGGTTTTGAACATGTTAAGACTACGATGCAGGCCGAGCTTGGTGGCTCAGCCTGTAATCCCAGCACTTTGGGAGGCTGAGGCGAGAGGATTGCCTGAGCCCGCGGGTTCAAGACCCGCCCAGGCAACTTGGCAGGAGACCTCAACTCTACAATAAATAAAAAACTAGCCGGGCGTGGTAACGCACGCCTTTAGTTCCAGCTACTTGGAAGGCTGAGGCGGTAGGATCGCCGGAGCCCAGCAGGTTGAGGATGCGGTGGCCAGGAGTGTGCCACTGTACTCCAGTCTGGGCGACAGAGTGAGACTCCAACTCAAAACAAACAAACAAACAAAAAAAAAAAACAATGCTTGGCCAGGCAGAGTGGCTCATGCCTATATTCCCAGCACTTTGGGAGGCTGAGGTGAGAGGACTGCCTGAGCCCATGGGTTCAAGACCAGCCTGGGCAACTTGACGAGACTTCATCTCTACAATAAATCAAGAAATTAGCTGGGCATGGTGGCACATGCCTGTAGTTCCAGCTACTTGGAAGGCAGAGGTAGAAGGATTACCTGAGCCCAGCTGGTCGAGGCTGCGGTGGCTGGGAGCGTGCCACTGCACTCCAGACAGGGCGACAGAGTGAGATCTTACCTCAAAAAAATAAAAAAACTATGATGCTCAACACAACATTCATGTGATGGTGTCTACCATACACATGGGAATGTAAACCTAGACAGATCTTGGGAGAGAAGCTGCATTTCAGATATAGATGGAGGTAACAAGTAACACCAAAGCAGAGGATAAGACCAGAAAGAGAAAAGTCAACAGTCTGAAGAAGGAAACAAGGAAAAAAGGCAGATAGGAAATTCCAGAAACATCTAGTGGGCTTTTTCATTTAATTACATCCCCTTTCCTGGTTGGAAATCATTGCTGTGGCCAGCCAGGCGCGGTGGCTCAAGCCTATAATCTCAACACTTCGGGAGGATGAGGTGAGAGGATTGCCTGAGCCCACGGGTTCCAGACCAACCTGGGCAACTTGGTGAGATCTCATCTCTACAATAAATTAAAAAATTAGCTGGGCATGGTGGCATGTGACTGCGGTTCTAGCTATTTGGAAGGCTAAGGTTAAAGGATCACCTAAGCCCAGCAGGTAGAGGCTACAGTGGCTGTGAGCATGCCACTACACTCCACCCTGGGTGACAGTGAGACTCCAACTTCAAAAAAAACAAAAAAGAAAGAAAAGAAAAGAAAATCACTGCTGTTAGGTTCATAGAGACCTGGCAAAAAATTAAAAACTCACTGCTGTATCAAGTCACTGCCACTGATGAAGATGTGATTTACCTTTCTAGTGTGTTAGCCTAGAATAAAAATTGGGGGCTAGGTGCAGTGGCCCACACCTGTAATCCCAGCACTTTGGGAGGCCAAGGCAGGCGAACTGCTTGACGCCAGGAGTTTGAGACAAGCCTGGGCAATACAGTGAGACTCCCATCTTTACAAAAAGAATAGCCAGTGTGGTGGCTAACACCTGTAGTCCTCGCTACTTGCAAGGTTGAGGTTGCATGCTCACCTGAACTCAGGAGTTCAAGGCGACAGTGAGCCAAGATCTTGCCACTTCACTCCAGCCTGGGAAACAGAGCAAGACTTTGTCTCTAAAAAAATAAAAAATAAATTGGGAAGCCGAGGAGAAAGGATTGCCTGAGCCCATGGGTTCGAGAACAGCCTGGGCAATTTGATGAGACCTCAACTCTACAATACATCAAAAAAAATAAAAATAAAATAACTTAAAAACTGGAAATCACTATTGCACTGCAAAGTTAACTGCCACAAAGACTGGTCAGATGGTGGGAATGGGCAACTACGTCACTGGTAAGCCTAGGCACTGAACTGGAACAGACAATATAGGCACCAAGGAGAGCATGGATTCTTAGCCAGGACTGACAGAAACGGAATATCAGAAGTACCCCCAACACCCCCCACCCCACCCTTTCCCCAAAGATAACAACTGATGGGCTAGGGCAGCGGCTTGAGAAGGCAATAAGATCAAGAAAATTCTACTTTTGTTTATTAATAAGGAAGATCTGAATATCTTCTAAAAGGGAGAGCTAAACTGAGGATAAAAGTAGTGGGGTGGGCATGATATAACCAGATCGAAGATGGCTGAGGAAAAGATGAGATTAGAAGCCTGGGTAGCCAGGTGCAGTGGCTCACACCTACAATCCCAGCATTTTGGGAGGCCCAGGTGAGAGGACTGCCTGAGCCCATGGGTTCAAGACCAGCCTAGGCAACTTGGCAAGACCTCATCTCTACAATAAATAAAAAATTAGCCAGCTGTGGTCATCCACACCTGTGGTTCCAGTTACTTGGAAGGCTGAGGTGGAAGGATCGCCTGAGCCCAGCAGGTCAAGGCTGTGGTAGCCATGAGCGTGCCACTGCACTCCACCCTGGGCAACAGAGTGACTCCAACTCAAAAAAAAAAGAAAGAAAGAAAGAAAAAAGAAAAAGCCTGGGTAGAAGGATTAGCCTTGGAAACAAAGAAAACTTTTATTGCCAAAATGTTCCCATCTGAAAGACATCTATTTTTCTCAAAGCACAAAAAACTGGGTCTCTGGCTGGGCACAGTGGCTCATGCCCATAATCCCAGCACTTTAAGTGGCAGAGGCAGGAGGACTACTTGAGCCCAGGAGTTCCAGACCAGCCTAGGCAACATAGTGAACCCCCAGAGCCAAGGCCACAAAATGATACCCCAACTCAGAAAAAAAAAAAAAGAGTCTGGGTCTCTGTTATGGAGTAATGGGCTGGACTGCAGTTTCAGAAAAACAGGAAGAAACAGAATTATATGAAAAATGTAGGGGTGCAATTTGCAAGGATTATGTAGCTCTTCTCTTTTTCTGCCCTGTAAACATGGGAGGCCCCCAAGGCTGTTCCCTCCCTGGAAAACTCATCCCCTCAAATGTATTATCTCAGCTTAGACTCCTCATTTTCTTATTTGTATAAATATATGGGGTACATGTCCAATTGTGTTACGTGAAGAGATTACTAGTGGTCAAATCAGGGCTTTTAGGGTATCCATTGTCATTTATCTTTTACGTGGCACTTAGAATACATTATGCCATGAAGGCCACTGCAAAGAACATGGCAAGGCTGGGCGCAATGGCTCACATTTGTAATCCCAGTTCTTTGGGAGGCCGAGGCGGGAGGATTGCTTGAGTCTAGGAGTTCGAGACCAGCCTGGGCAATAGAGCAAGACTTCCATCTCCACAAAAATGTTTTAAAAATAGCTGAGTGTGGTGGCACGCGCCTATAGTACCAGCTACTTGGGAGGCTGAAGTGGAAAGATCGATCTACCTGAGCCCAGGATGTCGAGGCTGAGGTGGCCGTGTGCGTGGCACGTGGCACTGCACTTCAGTCTGGGTGACAGAGACCTCGACCCCCCCCATCCCCACAAAAAAAAAAAAAAAAAAAAAAAAAAAAAAAA